TTGAGTTTCGAAATTTATTCTTCGTCCTATGAAGACCAGTATGGAATTGATTGATTCAATGTTTCTGTGATGGCTTTAACCTTGGAGGGTTCACCCTTTTTCCATTACGAGCCACATACCTAGTCATAGAGCGCTCACCCCTCCGTACCATCCCTTAACCCAGTCTATGCTTCGTCCACAAGCCTACTGGTGCGCGTACGCTGTTCCTTCTGCCTAGCAAGGCGTATCCTTGCAGACTCCGCACGATAGGCTAAGATGGCAGAGGCCTAGGGCAGAGCGACGAAGGAGTCAACTCACCCATCCACCTCAAACGACATACTAGTACGCATCGGCCCATGTTCTTCCGCTTAGCCTATGGCCTGGAAAGGCATAGGCTTATAGGCCCCTCGCGTCAGGCTACGGTTGTAGATTTCGAGGTCAGATAAGCCGATAAATCGCTTGAAGCTGATGAAGTAATGCGAACGAATGAATCAAGTTATACCCCTTTATCCTTGTCTCGCTAATTCTTCACCTCCTAGTCGTGATGTACCTGATTCGTCGCAGGCCTCACTCGTCGGTCTGCAAACAGAACGTATGGCGACCCCGTCGCTGGGGAAAGTAGTTGTGGGGCACGAAAGGGATGGATGAACTGATGGGTATCTGAAGGCCACTAAGACCTATATACTTTATCGATAGCTCCGTTTGAAGGAGCGTGCATTTCGACTGCTGTGACAGAGCAAGTGCAGTACGGTGTACGTGGAAATGGCTACATTAGACTCTGTCCTTAACGAGAGAGGCAAACACAAGATGTCCTTCAATGAGTTTTTATATACGCGTGAAAGAATGTGCAAAACAAAAAGCATCTGGAGAAGTGAGGTAAGATCTTGCAATGGGAGAGTACATACTGAAGACTCTGGGCTGGCCAATTCAATCACAGAACACAATCATGCACCATACAAAGTTCGCATCGATGCGGTCATCAAAATCGATAACATTAAGGAGAGAGCTGCTCGATCCGATGAAGCCACCTGCACAAATTTGCAACAGGAACTGAAAGACTTGCCCATGTCTTTTGTTTCACACCTTCTAGGTACTCGTGCTTTGCAAAGAATGATCCAATGTCAGCGGGAAGTTCCAAATCCTGAAGGTGACATACCGATTCCCGAAGCGTTCAGGAGAACTGTGAGAAATTCCGAATTTTTCCGTGGTGAAGAGGAGGGTACGCATATTTTCGTTTCTGATGAAGGTCTGGAGTTTCTCCGTCAGCACCCACACTGGATGGATGATGGTACCTCCGTGGTTCCTACCAAGTCTGCAGCATCAGCGCTTCTTCTGGAGCTATTGTGTGTAAGCGGTCCTTCCAAGCAAAGATGAACCCACCAACACTCGTTTGTTAAACATAATGAATAATCTTTTGCCAGCCCCGAAGCCGGCTTCGGTCATGACCGACTTCGAACATTCTGCCATCGATGCTTTTATTACTTGCCACCATAGCATTGAGATTCATGCCTGCTTTTTTCACCTTGTTCAGGCTGCTAGGAGGTAGACTCAGGGTGAAGGTTTTAAGCTGCAATACTCACAGGATTCTGAATTCTCCATGTTCTGCAAGATGCTCCCTGCTCTTGCCTTTGTTCCAAGTTCTGATGTACCTCAAGCCTTTGAAGACCTCTGCTCGACTGATGATTTTCCAGGTGGTCTAGACCCTACAGCTGCGTATTTTGAAGCCACTTACTTTGGTGAGAGGCGAGAAGACAGCGTTGGACTCGGGTCAGATACCCCCTAGAGCTATGCAACAACTACCAGCGCATGTTGAATGATTTCCCTTGCAGCTACTCATCCATAAAAGGGTAGCATCGAACATTTGCTTCTTCAGTCAGTAGCCTATTCCACGCTGGCAAAGCTAAGTAAGCATTTCAGAATAGAAAAAGCAAACCAAGCTCTATATATGCAGTCATTGATGTTAAGCATGGAACCCCCAAGGAAGAAGTGGGTTCAACTGGACGCCCGCCTGAGGGCAGGGGTGGAAGCCCTATGATAGGGCATTCCACCACTGCTTTCCGACTCTTCCTGGAGGACGACCGCTTGTCGTGACCTCTTTCCTTCGCGTCATGAGGCACTGCTTTCTTGCTGGACGGTGTTTGGCCATCTCTGCCTGGGATTCTGATTCTTCCCTTTGGGCCCAGCATCCCACCACGGACTCTATACTCCCTGTTCTCTTTTTCCCGTCTCGCCATCATCCAACTCTGGTGAAACTTCTCTGCCGAGTTTTCATCCCGACTGAGAGGTGATATGGAGAGGTGCACCTTCCATTACTGAGTACGTGACTCGAACGGGTGAACCCTCCAACGTTAAGCCCCATGACACCTTTAGCAAAAACTAATCCTGAATCGCAGGGAGATCGAGGTGGAAATGGATCGGGCCGAGATTTTCGAGCCCGAATTCGTCCCGTACCCGCCGCTCCGGGTCCAAGTCCGTTCTGACTCAACTGCGGCATATCCTCTTCTAGCCCGAGCTTGACCGCGGATCAGCAAAGGGCATTCACTCAGATAAAACCCAGGGAACGCAGGCCTACGTGTCCTTGTCATCATTTTCTAATTTTCGTGAAGAGACGGCGGACTCGATCCAGCCGGCACCATTTTTCCCAAGCTGACCGTAGCCCTATCCTAGGGCTTTGCTTGCTAACCCCGAGATTATCTCTTGGCCAAGACTTAGTCTAAGTATTGGGTTGGAAAGAAAGTCTTGCAACACTGCGCAAATTTTTTTAAATTTTATAACTTTATTGAAATGCAATTTCAATCTACAATGTAATGACCATTGTTGTCTATGACATGTTCCCAACGCACAAATGGCAGAAGCCGCCTGATATACCCCGAGGGCAGAAGCTTCGAGAACATTCCAGCATATACAAATGCCCATCATTCCTTTGAAACATTTTATAAATAGTTTTAGAAAGTGTTGCAAGACTTTCTTTCCAACCCAATACAAACACTATCGATTGCGCTCTTCCCAGAGTCCCTACACCTAAATTAAACTGATTTAGGAAACTTCTTCGAGAAACTGATCATACGAAGGAAAAACTTTAAAAACCCATTTGCATCCACAAGCGTACTGGTTCGCAACGTTCCATGTTCTTTTTCCTAGCTCATGGTTTAGGTAGGCAAAAAACAGCCAGTCATTCTGGCTAAGGCAGCAGAATTTTAGGCCAGATAGGTAGAAAAGTTCCTGGATGCGAATGGGATGCATATTCAGTCAACAGCGATCAGTCAGCTTGCCGAAATTTAATCAAGCTGGTCTTGAATGGGACTACAATCCACGGACTCCCTTATAGTTAACATGTAGCGCACGGGTTGTTTAATTCATCCGCGTCAAGTGACTTTCGACATTTTTGACCATTTTCTGCTACCGTAACTTGACGCGAGAGACCTACAAGCCTTTGCCTTTCGAAGACATAGGCTAGGTGGAAGGACATAGGAAGATGCGGATGTGTAGGGGGATGTAAGCAGGGGATGTCCTTGTAAGTCCTGGTTCTTCCATGGCTCTCAGATTCTAAGGGGGATTCTACAAGGAACGGAAGCTTCAAATTCACCATCAACCGTTCATTCTCAAATTTATGGAATTAAAAAAACGAACTGCAGTCTTTGAAATGTTGAACTTTCCGTTAAAATCAATCGTACTGTCTCTCTATTGATGCACAGTTCTTTGGCAATCATTCTGACAATAAGACGACGATCACTTCGCACCAGAGTTCTCACATTTTCGATGTTTTCATCCGATTTTGAAGTTGTCGGACGTCCAGGTCGTCTGTCAAACTCAACTTCTTCCCTTCCTTCAGAAAAGCGTTTACAACATTCAAATTCATTTTGCTCTGGACATAACCTCATCTCCGTACACTTATTTCAACATTTCAAAGACTTCAGTTGGTTTTTTCCCGAGTTTGATTAGAAATTTCACGTTGATTATTTGTTCATAATATTATCACCCTTTTTTTATACTTTTTTTTTTGCCCCTAACACTACTTTTGGTAAAGTGGTACTGCTCTGCAATCACTAGAAGCATCGCGACAAGTTTGTTACTGCAGAGATTTAAGACATGTACTGACAGGTTACAGTATCGCTAGTAACCCAGTGTTGTCAGTCTCGCTATTTATTGTCAGACCTCGTATATAGGGTTTCCCAGAAATGTGCATACACACTTCAATTGTCTAGCATGCAGTGAAATGTTGTCCGTCAGCATTGAGAATAGTTCCATCCGAAAGTCAACCGATGCTGTTACTGTGCAGTGCTTCACTAAATCGTTAACACCACTTGCTCTCACTTGGCATCCGAGGAGAGAGCCGCCTCGTCGTCGTCGTCGAGCAGAGCAATACCTTCACTACGTCTCCTATAAAGGGTGGATGACGACCTTGACCCACGTGCGCGAGGGCAGCTTCCTAGCCAAGTCGATAACCTCACCTAATCTCTCATGGGCCAATTCTCAGGGCCCCTTTAGTAAGGGCACCTTTCCTCACAGGTTTGTTGATCTGATCGTAAACCAAATAGTTTACTGCTACCTCCCTCTAGTAAATGCGTCTTAAAGTTAAACGTTTGACTTCAGTAGCTAAAATGGCATGCAAACGGATCATGCGAGACCGATTTGAAGCCAGTTTGATGAAAGGAGTAATGTCCCCAGTTGCACAAAAAATTGAATCAAAATAGGTTCAATGCTGATTCAACGTTTGGACGTTGATTCATTACTTATTCCATGTTAATTCGATATTTTGTGCTACTGGGGGGTGCCAGAGTGGAGTTTGTATCGTCCTAGTATCATCTCAAATCTCACTCGAACGTTCTAATTTGGCCTTTTGCGTCTATTCGATGTAATTTCGGGGTCTTTAAGCCTCGGATTATTAATCTTGAGCCGGTCTCGTTCCCCGTTTTCCCATTCCATTCAGGCCTACATGTACACCCTCCAATCGCCGAGTCCAAGCAAATGGAGCACCCAACCCCTCCCCAATGAAACGGGAAAACCAAGGAATGAGGAAATTCCGCTTCATTTCGTACGAGAGAATCAGTTGGCGGCTAGAGTTCCTTCTTCTCTTGGCCTCCGTCCTCGTCGTCCGTTTCCTCCTCCGTGTCGCTCCTCACGTCCTTCGCTTCCTGGAGAGAAACAAGTCAGCCACACCGGACAAGATTATTAGGATAATGATGAAGGCCAACACCGACTCATTCCACGATATTCAGAGGGAAAAAATAATAGAAATAAGAAATTTACAGAAATATCTATTAAAATTAATGGAAATGTAGGGAAGCAATCTCGGAACACTAGACTTACTGGTAAGATTAATGGAACTTACAAATGGAAAAATCCATCAAATTTCACTTTTGGCTCCTGCAGAGAAAAAGCCTCCATCCGATTGGATTAAAAATTCGATCGTCATCGTTGCAAACGTGAAATGAGGCTTTTTCGAACCATGACTCCGGAAAGACTCGCTAGTCAGAGCACTCTATGGTAACACAATAAGCCTATGTCTTCCGTCCTGAGACCGCATGGTCGATACGGAACAGAATGGTACCAACACGGGACACAAAGATGCACATACGGAGCTACTGAGCATTCGATGAATGACGGCCCCGATGCAATAGGTCCAATAGAGCTGGATGAATAGAAGCCCCCAGAGGAGAGAGATGAAGAAGATGATGCCTCCGTGACCGGTCGCCGTCAGATCCATGTGTTCCCAATAAGCCACCATCGCCCTGCCGCACGCAAGCCATCACGCATTATTCCATGACCATCCGTGGTCGTAATAAGCTGCTTTAAAGAAAAAGTGGATTAGATATGGTGGTGGACTTGCAATCTAAGGCAGGGGTTCTTAACCTGGGGTCCATGGGATAGGTCCAGGGGGTCCGTGGAGGGTACATGGAAAATTAAATATATAATTGACGGTAGTTCCCGAAAAACATAATTAGTAATCACGAATTCAGGTGTTCCAAAGTTTCTGATAACCAGGGGTGGGGGTCCATGGGTAATACTTCAGGATTTGGGGGGTCCTTAGGTGGAAAAAGGTTAAGAACCCCTGATCTAAGGGGTTTGTTACACGTTCAAAGGAACTCCGAATCCAGAATTTACTTTCGACGTAGGTCACAAGATCGTCTCCTTCCATTGTAAACTATCCTCCTTTATTTTCATGATGTCACGTGGGGAAAAAAGTTGATGGCATTTGCCAGCAGGAAAGCAGAATCATAGTGAAACATCTTAAAGATAAAGACACTGATCTACACTGTCTGAACGAAGTAGACCGCTGAAAACGAGATCGAGGTATCGCGGTAAAGCCGATCGTTGATGAAAATACAACTGCACCGATACCATTCGACTATTCCGTACGTTCATTTCCACTCCGCAAGCACTGGAAAGAGACCATTGCATCTTTTAATTGTGATCTGATAGCACCATGTAATTCAGAAGTGGCCTCCCAATAAGCGAATCCATCGCCAGGTGGATTCGTCCACCCCATCCACTCGATCTACTTCCCACAATCTCCCTCAAGCTCCCCCCTCCTAATGAACACTTCCACATCAACGTCTCGAGAGAGGAGCACAAAGCCCTCCAAGGCAATCGACGTACGGGACGATGATGAGGGCCGGGTAGAGGATGAGCCTGGAGGAGATCCAGATGAGGACGAAGAGGACGAAGGACACCAGCGCCATCCTCTCCTTTTCCAAGTATTTCCACGCCTTCCCCGCCTGTTTCCAATTTTTCATTTTTCAAATTTTTTTTTTCAAATTTGAATATTTACTTTATGTTGTGATCTCAAGAGGAATATTCTCGGTTACTTTTCTCATCCACTCTCGTGGATACTCTACGAATTGGAAGGTCAGTTTAAAGTCTTTTAAAAATCATTTCCGTCTTGTCGACTCATTCCCATTAACATTTTCGATTTACATATAATTAATTATCATATTTGGAGAAGATTATTTTTTAGTTCCCCCTTTTACCATACCAGCAGGGGCCCATCGGCCGCATCGTGAAGCAAGATGACGATGGCCCCACACCGCGTCGCCCCGCAGAGGAAAGAGAGACTCAGGAGCCCCAGCGTGAGGATGTGATGGGTGAATTCGATCCAGAAATCTTTTCTCTTCGTGTCGAATCCCTGGGCCACCAGCAGGGAGACGTACAGACCCATTTCCACCAGGTAATACCATCGGACGTCCTTGGGAATTTCCTAAGGGAAAATAATCCACGAAGGTGCAAGGTGGAATGAGTCGGAAAATGCGTTTAAATTGTGGAAAGTCCTCAAAGGCTTTCGGATTCGATTACATTTGAAACTGGCTCCTGCCAGTAATTAAGTATTCCCGAAGGCCACGAGGGAATCTCGTCTAGAGATTGCAAAGGGGTTCCTCATTAGGAGTTTCCATGGATGTACGCGATTATCGTACCGAAAGGAAGTAAATGTTAGGAAGCCATATTAGACTGGAAGAAGCCATGCATACGAAGCAGAGTGGGAATACGATCCCCAGAATAGAGAGGAAAGAAGAGCAGCGTTCATTACAGACGTCATGAGGAAAGGGGATCCTCGCGGTAGAGATCTGCTCGCATCCGTGTCCGAAACTCGATGTGGTCCTGATAGCTCTTGGGAGTTCGGGATTTGATCGAGACGACAAGCGGTTCCCAGCCGAGGGGATAATAGAACATAACTCGGCATTTGAGGATAGGGGGGGGGGGGGGATGAAACCCTGACCTAAGATAACATAACCCTCTCTACTCTTACAATAAACATTTGCAATGAAGATGTCATAAACTATATGTTCATTCTTCAGGAGGTCAACGAATGAGATGAAGGCCAAATCACATATTCTGTGAATCAGTAGATTTGGTTCATCAGGCCCCCACCTCACGAACGGCCAAGCAAATTCCCACTTCACAACTGCCGAGATGAGAAATTTGATGGAATATTCTCCCAAAAAACCTTCTGGAGCCTCTCCTTGCTGCAGTTTACAGCGGTACGACTCTCTTCGACTGGACTTGCTTATTCCCAACAATTTGAAGGGAGTGGACAATTTTTATACATAGCCTATTTCTCGTCTCGGAATGAGACGTGTAAAATACGCAGAGTCCCGGAATAGACTAAAATCAAGTCCTTCCGCCTAGCTCACGGCCCAGGAAGGCAGGTTCTCACAGGCCACGTGCATTAGGCTGAGGTATCATGGGTCTAGGTAGCAGAGGCCTAGGTCAGAGAGGCCCTGATGCGAAATGTTCACCCGATTCTGAGACACCCTATACACATGCCTATAAGCCTTTCGCCATGCCCATTCGCGAGGCAGCAGTTGTGCTCTTCTCAACTTCATCTTCAGCTCAATTATCTCTTTCAGCTCCATGTCAGTATTCTGCTATGTCCTTAAAGTGCCACCATTTAATTCGAGAAAAGTACCTGCATATAGTGCTAAGATTTTTTAAACTAAAGATGTGCGATAACGCCTATTCTCTTCATCTACTTCCCAAATAATAAAAAGTTACTTTCGGGAATTTAATTCGGCTCACAGAACTCTTGGTGCGTCGAAGTGAGCCGAGAATGCTGCGTCCAAAGGTGTGCGAATTTCGAACATAAAACGTGTCGTCTGGTGTGTTGAAATTCCGGTACCCTTGGGACACATCATGGCATCTCAGATGTGTCGATATGGCAAATTTGATGAATATTCATTGCCGTGACAAAAGCGTTCGCGATGAAACCTTTCGGCGATACAAAAAATAATTGATGCGATCGTTGGGATCGACGAGGGGAATGGTACGACATTTATTCCAAATCTCCACTGCAGTTTAATCCTACCCGCTTCTTATTGTAAAAGTACCTGATGGAGAAAAGGTCTTCTCATGGGAACTACTGTATATGTTGCAGTTGTTTCTTCTCTCGCCACTAAAAAAAAAAATAATTTTTGCATAAAAGCAAACTTTTAGGGTTCGCGACCGGTGGCTCTCGAGTTCAAGAAAAGAAACCACTGTGAAGAAATAGAAAATAATTGAGTGAGTTTCGTCGCGCATAATCAAGGTCGAGGAATCGCAACTAAAAACGACAATCTCGTCACGTGGCTATGAAAATCCCTTTCGTGCATTCTCATCCGAATTAAAAGGCCTGCAACCGCTGCCGAAAGGACGAAGGACCTGGAAATGGGGCATTACAAGCATGAATTTTTTCCCCAACTTCATCCTGACGAGCTGGGCACGGTGTCCTTAGGACCTTCAGATGAAGACGGGTGAAAAACTCGCTTTGGAGTATCGAACGACTAGGACAAGCCGTAGACATCAAGTATTATGTGGTGATGTGAAAACCGATTTCAATGGTTTTACCTTTCTTCACCCTCACCCTCGCCCCCACCCTCCGGCACAATATCCGGCAATACTAGAAACGGGACCGGAGCCATCACGCTAAGCCTAAATTAACGGCATCTAATTTTATTTTTTATGGTTAAATGGTACGCGGGAATCAAAAAAGGAGACTTTTGTCACCTTCAGATCAATATCTTTCATTTGGTAGTTCACTTTCTCCAAAAACTTCACAGGAGCGGCTACCCAAGGAGGGGGGAGAGAAAAAAATTCTGGAACGAAATAGACTTCTCCACAACCCCGAGGAGATGGAGCTTCAAATTTGCTGGAGCGATTCCGTGTTGAGAGAGGAAGAAGTAGGGTAAAGGCACCAGTTTGTGGACGGGTTAAGGAAATTTTCCTCTTGAAAATTGCATTACGGTCGTTGGGGTAGCCGAGAAACCTCTTGATTGGTTTCAACGGGAGGCCACTTATCATAGCTTGATGCCCATGCCATAAAATAAAATATTCAAATATACTTTTCCCACTGTACCTGTTGGATACACATGGATATGTGTTGATTTTCACGTGGTTCCAGTTTGTGAACATCCACAGACTAAGTTTGTGGACATCAGTTTTTGTCAACAATTATGAGCGTGCTTTGGCCGAATAGAAAAATTGGGCATGAAATATATACAACAGTTTTATTCATCTTCAATGATGTCCTGTTCAGAAATATTGGTCAATTTAAGGAATTGAGGGATTCTAGGTCTAAAACTAAGCGAAATTGTCCAAGTTCACTCGTGCTGATGGGTATGCATACTTCATATGGTGGCTGACAGGCATGTGCAAAATATAGATTATTTGAGGAAATACATTTTCAGCGTGAATTTTTTGAAATGGCAAAAAACGCAAAACTGTCCATAAATAGGCGCCCGCCCACAAACTGGTGCTTCTACCCTTTGCCAAATTTCGTTCCTGTTGATTCTCTCCGAATGGAATATGAGACGGGTGAATTTTGTCGCCGGAAGGGGCTGAAAAAAGGCATCGATGCTCGCCGGGTCAGTTCCACGAGGCCATGAGGCACGACACTGATCGGAGGCGGCACGAGCGTCCGCACCTCGATACTTCTCATCGACGTTGGGTTGTAGGTTAAGGTTAGAATTTACCATGCATGGTTATTATAAATTTTCTACCGTGTTCAGACAGTTATAATCAGCAAGCGATGCATCATAGAGCTGAAATATTTGGTTGGAACGTTAATGGGACCATGTGAAAGAGTAACGTGGGGTCATCGGATGTGGGCACAAGCATTTGTTCGATAGCTAAATTTGCTACATTTGCTCGATGGACCTTCCTTCGTTTCTACTATTGCTTGCATTCGGGACGTGCAACGATGGAAGGCCGACCAAAGCCTTCCGACATTCAACGTAGCCACGCAATGGCGAATGGCATGTAAGAAGATCGCTAATGGGGCAGGAGCTCCACGATACAAAACAGACTTGAAATATTCCCTAGGCCAAAAAGGTTGCTGGGGTGAGGCCGGGCCAGGTATTTGTGCCTCATCTGCATTCCTCTTATTACTGTAGTAATGTCTCGATAAGGCGATCCTTACGTGTAAAGACAGTTTGTTACATGGCATCTCTACTTTCAGAAAGACGTCAGGCAGGGCGGCCAGTGGTCATAGAGGGCGTCTCGGAATCTCCTTCAGCCCAACCGACGGCTTAGAAAGGCACGGTCTCGTAGGTCGACCTCACCCCCAGCAGACTTTTGGCTTTGAGGATGTCTAAAGTCAGTTGTGCATCATGCGGCACGTGCCACGCCTTAATGGACCTGAACATGGTATTCCCCATCACGTGGTCATGTCGGACGCCGGACGGCTTCGGTCAGCCGTCTATTGTTGATACATCCCGAATGCAAGCACGTGGTTTTAAATACACGTGACGAATGACTCGGTGAATATCCATCGGATGGGACATCCACCTGGTTCCAAATCTATCTCCCATCCACCATGCCGTTCGGCGCAGGTGGATGAAGGTGTTTTTCTTTTTTTAAGGTCACTTTCCTAAAAATTTTTCCTTCAAGAGCTGAACGAGGATAAACTTAATCAATTCGCCTATTTTATTTCATTTCAAGCGTTTCAGTGGACAAGAAAGAATAGAGGACTCACATGGAAAGGGTATTGATCCCAGCAGAGACTTGGTTCCCAGAGCCACTTCTTACCCCACATGACCCACGTTCCCGCGAAGAAGAGACTCACGTAGAACACGCACTTCACGCTGCGTCCATGCATCAAACAAGATCGTCTAAATCTTCCCATCCATTCCCGAACCCCCTTCTACGACGTAAGAACCCCACCAGCATTCGTTGAACTTGGCGAGCTTGGTGTGCCGACAGACCGCGAAATCCTCGGATCGAGGATTCGGCTGAGGACTCGGCTGTGGACTCGGCTGTGGACTCGACGGCCCCCCGTCGACCGATCCCGGCTGGACCCTCCATCGTGCGATCCCCTTGAGTCCCCCCAACCTCCCGATCGGCGTGAACACGAATCTAAAGTGAAACACACGCTCGGCGCATTGAGCAAACTCCTAAGGATAACAATCGGATTCGGCGTCGGAATGGAATCCGGGCGACCCTCCCTTGGACCTTGGACCTTCCCTCTAGGAAGGATCTGCAAGGCGTTGGGGGGGGGGGGGGTCGCACACTCAACTCCACCTGTCACGACTAACTCATATGAATTTCCAAAAGTACTGCTTGAACCTTCCGGCCAAAACGCTACCGAATAGAATTTCCGGGTCCCAAGGCCTGGAATTTCGGGGGAAAAGGGTCTTGGCGTAGGCATGCGACCTATGACACTGTAAAGGAATTCTACAGAATTTCTTTAGGATTGTATGAATTTCTTTTGTGTTCCTTTAGAAATTGTACAAAATGTATATACAATTTGATGAAATTCTACCCTGTATAGTGTGACTAAAAAGTTATAATAAATAGATGGAAATAGTATTCCGCGAGGAAAGGAGAAAGAATTAAAGGTAGCCCTGTTTTCTTCGATTTAACCTCGCGCAAAGTTCATATCCAGAGATGTCCGTATTCTCAATGCAATACTCATAATAGGTATAAGATGGCGTTTACGTCCCCCCGAGCATTCGATCTCAAGTCAGGACGCACCGGACCTCAAGGAAAGAGTTTTCTTCCTTTCTCTGTATTCGTCTCATCGTGATACTTGCAAAGCAGTATTTGATAAAAGTATAATTATCATGTATCGATGGCAATCTGATTCTGGAAAATTTCTACATGACTACGTTTCGGAATGCCTCCACCCATAAATACATTTTTGCTACCTCGTGAGAGTCAGTAAATTTGGTGAAGTACAGGAAACGAGTGAAACCATAAGAACAGAGTAGCACCCCGCTATCGCAGGTAAGTTGGAGCATGCGCAGTTCCAACCCCAGCCAGCCTCTTCCTGGCCTGACCTGCTCCAACTCACTGGAAGTCTGACTGATGGAAGAGTTAAGAGGGAGAGTGCAGTCTCGCATCGAAGCGATCGGAATGAGACTTCGACCGGAGAGAAGAGGCCGAGTGCTACGTTGCCAAATCTATGCAACATTGCCAGATATTCTTCCGCGCCCTACTCCGATGAAATCATAATCCTGCATGACTAGTTTTTCAGCCTTATTCACATGTTTGTCAGCAAGTATTGATATTTTATCAGCACCACGACCCGCGTAGGTATTTTATTCCTTCAGATCTCTCTCTTCCAAATATTTTCTTCTCTCCTGCCCTCGAGCCCTTTGCAGTGATCTATGTAATGGGGTTCGTGTAGCTGGTGTCACATTCCCTCTTACCAACCTTATCAGCGGGAAACATCATTGACAACTTTCAGGTTTTTAGAATTAGATTTTCTCAAAGTGATGAAAAGAGGCGAAGGAGAAATTCTCGAGAACGGAAGGTCCACGCCAGATTTCCACATTTTGCTACCTCGTGAGAGTCAGTAAATTTGGTGAAGTACAGGAAACGAGTGAAACCATAAGAACAGAGTAGCAGGGGGGGATCAAGCCAGGACAGCCCCCCTTCCCTGACTACGTCACTGGCCTACTCTACTACATGAATCACGAGCCGCCACTGGAATGAAATTTGGTATAACGTTTCGAGGTCCCTTTTGGAAGCGCTCTAAGCAATGCTATCAGAGCGTTGAAACAATACACAATAGCACGAAGCTCTACGTGCAACACTCGCCCGGGACAGCGGGCCTGCGATCTGGCGGTGGCTCAAACAGACAAAGGTTCGTACGACCGAAGCGAGATGGCGGGAAACGGAGCCGCTATAGCGAGTCGATACCTGCCTGATCTTCCCTCACAGACACCACGGGGTCGATATTTGAATTCTTCGACGAATTCGGGAAAAGAAGTTACAATGTAAAACTGTGTTATTTCTCCTCTCAGTCGTGTCGAAACGAATGGAAGTCGATCCGGTCGTGACGGAATGCTCAATGACTCAGGGTTACGACGACTCATAGCATGATGACGGTACCTTAAATTATATTTATTTGAACATTCATTGAGCGTTCCGGTGTTACTTGGGCACGTTTAGTTCGATGTTATAAATGATAGTAAAAATAGCGTTCATGCGACGCTTTAGGATTTAACGTTGCTTCCAGAACTTCTAAAAATGAGGGACCGGCTGCCGGCACAATTACGTCCAAAAATTGCATTGGCATTGCTTACCTACTGAAGCACTGGTCTAAAAGTTACACAAAAGCCTGGTGATTCCATTGACCCAATTAATTGACGCCGTTGAAACGCTCGAACAAGTTGGCAGACTTTTCCTTTGAAGACGTGGTCTTAGCACAGCTTTAGAGCTAAACTAGCGATGGCTCAACAGAGGGGTGGCTCAAGGGAAGAACAAGTGAATGGCAATCCTAGTTGACACGGCAGTGTTTGGGCAACACTCGATATATGTCGTTTTAGTGTTCGAGTGTTCTTCCGTGACAGGTGGAACGTTGGTATAGCGTTAAATAGTCCATTTTGAAAGCACTCCAAACAACTTTGACTCAGTAACGTTGGGTAACAGCCGTTGCAGTGTTCATTTCCAACATATTTTAACAAATTTGGGAAGCGGTTGAGACCAATTTTTGAATGTGGACCCGGACATATATGGAGTCCCTAGTCTGCCTAGGATATGAAATAGTAAACGAAACCATTACTCCATCAGCAAAGAGGCTGCTAAATATTGAATATAAACTGCTGGATTCAGAATGAGCACATTTCCCCCCATGAGGGGGGGGGGGGGCGAAATCATCTGAAAAAATCTGAAAGTCCAATATTGCCTATTTTCACCAACTTCGGCTGTTCTTGCTTCCTGTTTGAACTGGATGTCCTGTTTGTTTGAACCAGATGTTTAACAGAAGAATTCAGAAAGGGTTCTAATCCTGTGAAATCTAAAACCTCACAAGGAAGCAATCGAAGGAAGGTGCAACTCGCTGGAGCAATTCCGCACAAACTGAGAGAGACTTGGCGATGTGAAGGCCCCTAGTAGAAGAGCAGAAAAGTTAAGGGATAATAATTTGAAATACGCGTTTAATTCCAAGTTGCAAATGAACATAGGAATTGCATTCATCCCATCGCTCTCGGGTTTAGCATTGTTTTGAATGCTTCCAAAGGGGACATTTTAATGTTATGTCGCTTCAATGCTGGAACGACGTTACAATTGAACGATGCAATAGCATTTCCTTGACGCTCTTGGGTTACCTGGCGTAGAAAATCTTCGTAAAATCTTGAAAAGAATCCTGAATTGCTTACCAGACTAAGTCCAAATGCAAGATATATTCTGTCGAAACCTTTAAGGCAGATAACCCCGTCAAATCAGATAACGCGATCGGCAATAGCGACAATCCTCAAAATGGGGCTTTGAAAGTTGATCTTTTTAGAAGTAAAGGACGGAGGGGTCACCTTTCCAGGAGGAATCTGACTGCAAGAAATGCCACCGCGATGGGGATGGCAGGAAGGAAGTCCCGGCTACCCGGGTACGCGAACCCATATTTGGATGGCACGTTCTCCCAGGTCTCGTTGTAGGGCAGCCAGAATCTCTCGCTCCACAATCCCATCTTTCCGGTCTCGAGCGGACCCTCCTTCGCAGAACGAGAGACACACAGAGGACTAATCGATTGGAAGAACGGAGATTATTACGATCGAGTTGGAAGGAAATCGGAGACAAATGTTGCACGTCACGGTGATGTCAGCATGATCATATGCGAGAGAGGAGATAGAAGTTTCCTTTCTCGTTTACCTTTCCGATACGAAGGCAACTTTTGCGACACCTCTACTTGCAAATACGTTAGTGTTAGTTCGGTCAGCAATGTGGAACAATCCACCTCCGACTGACATGGAACACGATAAATAATCTTCATTCAAACGACTTTCAGATTAAAGCACTGCACAAACAAAAATATATATTCCATCCTTCCCGTCTTGCTTTCTTGGTCTTTCTTTTTTCAATAGATGAATTCAGCTAAGGAAATTGTTACACTGGGCAATACTGAGTGTGCATGTCACAAACGTTTCTCAGGATAGTCCATGCACTCCCCGGCACTAAATTCGAGATGAGACGAGAAGTCTGACCTGGTTTATTCAATTTCGAGTATTTGAATTCGACAAAGGACTCGGGATCGCATCAAGAGATTGAAGAGGTGTAGAGAGTGCCCTAGAACATCGATATTTCAGGCATTTTCTTGAAAAGACCATCGACACAAGCAGGATATGAGGAAGAACCTCCCAGTTGGAGCTTTCATTTTGCTTCTGGGGAATTCCAACACCGGAAGCGACCTTGTAATAGCACGAAACTCATTGCCAAAGTCCAGAAGGACCATTCGATCGATGCCGAATTGTCACCTATAACCACAGAGTGAAATGACCTTTTCCAAGATCGACCTCACTCCTTCGGATTCAGATGTGCCTTTCATCCCAAGGTGAAGAATAATTCTTGAAGATATTGGCCTATGCAATGATCAGCACTAAATACGAAGGTCAAACATTTGACTACGGTGCGATTTCTTTCGAAATCCATGGTTCAGCCGCGGACAGCTGTACGCTGCCTTTTTCAGAGGAGAAACCAAGGACAACGTTAAAGTCTAAATGGAAGCTCTGCTCCCTGTAAGCTTCTAACTGACTTTCAGATATGGGGACTGATAGCCCGTTCTAAGCTAGATAGATGGAAAAGAACAATAGTTGACGGGCCTTTATGAGTTCATAGACTTTTATGGAGAAAAAGAGATGTTTGTGTGGAAGGCCCTTTCATTTCGCCCGCGTGAAGTTTCAGCTTTCGGACCCAAAACTTTAACAAAGAAACCTGGAGTACGCTTTTGAAGCAATCCAAGTAGGTGTTCTCTATGTACCCCGAGCACGAAGGCGATGTTTTCATTTTGACCAATAAGGAACTAACTCTTGGTTTCCGTCTATTGACTAAACAGTGGGTACAACATGACCTTAAGGACAGTTCTCGATTACACTCGATCACGAATCATCAGAGAAATTCCTTAAATAGAGATTTATGGCATTTCTTAGCAAGCCCCAGTCAGTGATCGAAGTTCGATAGAATCTCAGCACCTTTTGTGTACACATTTCTACCATACGCCCATTTGTCAAGCCCAGAAAGAAATTCAGAAAGTGACTGCTTGAGTATTTAATGCTTCTGTTATCCTGCGCATTTCTTCGCTCCATTTTCCGTTCCTTTTCTTCGTAATTCCCATTTTAATATCGATTCCAACGAGATCCTTCATTCTTTCCATGCTTCCGGCCGCGGAAGGCTCTCTATCTGCTGTCGCAGACGAAGAGTCGTTCTCGTTGCATTCCCCAGCCATGAACGCACTTCCTCGAGACACCGACCGGTAGCGCAATAGTTGTTGGAATCCGGGAATAGAATAACTTCACGCTTGAAGGCAGCAGTGATGCATCGATGCTCTCGCCGAGTCACGATCCGAGTATCCTCGTCGATCAGGCTCGGATCGGATGCAATACACATCCGGTTTCCTACATATTTCCGGGTCCCGAACAAAGGTGTTCCAAGTTCAACAGACTTTCACCCAATTTTTGCAAATTAAGTAAAGCTAGCGACAGCAGTCGGTTAGGACTAAATGCAGGCTTTTTCACATGTATGAAAATTCGGAGTTTGTCCATCCCAATAGGTCAGGTTATGCATATCGGTCGACCGCAATTTTTGACATAACTGATTTGGTCGACAAATAAGCGTGCAATGATTATTTCCAGTTTCGAATTCTTCCCCCAACATGGTGTTGCTTGTTCTGATGAAATTTTCTGCTTTTTTCGATCTAATTTCGGATTTTGTAGAAACTACACTGTTTATTTAAAAAAAAACTGTGCCAAATCATTTTCGTTATTAATGACAGGAAATTGTATCAGCTAGACTTACGTTTTTAAACACTGCATGTAGATAGAGGATAGGAGGTATGTGCCAAATTATAAGAAAATTGACGCATCGCATCACGTTCTATACCATTCAAACTTGCAAGGTAAAAATGTGAGCCGTACAAGCCCGCTGATGCGTTCGCCTCAGTCAGGGAAGCGAACCTCCTCGGCCGCTCTGTCTGGCACGCAGAGACGCACGCTTGTTGCAGAGCTGAGGCGGATGCATCAGCAGGATGTCCGAGGCATTTACTTAACCTTCAACTTTTAAACGGTGTAGCACGTGACATATTGTCACGTGCTACCACGGCCACGGCTGCGGTCAATATCGTTCAAATTTGGCAAAAACCTTCTTTCATCTGTCCATATGCAGTTTGTGAAATATTGGGCCGATTGTATGAAATTTACTACCATTCCTATAAAAAAGCGAATTGGCAAGGGTTTTTTTTTTAAACAGCGTGTAGTATAATTTCATGTTTGTGCGCTCAGTCTTAGATACCCTCTTAAACCCGCATCATCGTCGACTTTTATTATATAATGTTCGGCAAACCCTTCCTCTCTAATTCCGTGACTATGACCTTGACCATGACACTTCGCTTTTTACGAGGGCCGGCTGGAAAGACCTCGGCCTAACTGAGTTACTGGTACAACAAGCAGGAAGTATCATTCCACAGGAATGGGATTTTACCGGATGGCTTTTTACCGCCAGTGGAATGAATGCATACAATTCCAAGGCGACTGTGTTGAGAAGTGTTGAAGTTAGATTGCTTTTTGCTTACTCCTTCCCGCTCGGGCCGATAACTTTTCAGCCTGCCCTCGTATACACAAGCTTGTTCTTTCGTATCATGTTTCTATTGCATTTTCTCTTTATCTGACTTTGCTGTTTGTGATTCTCGTATGTTCGATAGGGTCATTTTGGTAGTTGTGTAATTTACGGTCCATCGAGGCCTTCGGTAGACCTTTTTCCTTGCAAGGTAATTCAACGAACCTGTGAATTAATATATTTTATCCCGTCTTTTTCATCAAATAGATTCCGCCATGTTGGACAGCCTGCCTTGCGCGTTTTTCGCTTTTCCGGTGAGAAGAGAATAATGAACTCAGAAGCCGTTTTTGGGTTCGTAGATTTCGTTCATTTGTTTCTCTGATTAAGTTTCAGGATTCCACTATCGATAGAAGAGTAAAGAATTAGTGTGAAAGCTGGTTGGCTTTCCGATGATAGAAGGTTGAAAAGAATACGTGAAACTTATTTTTCATGAGTAAAAATTGAATTTCAAGTGAATGTATCGAAAATTAAATCTAATATTAATGGGAAAGAAATTATTGAGCTTTGGAGAGAAAAATTGTCCAAGCAAAAAAAAAATTGGCGGAACTAGCCAAAAAATATCGGGAAAAACCTGGCATATTATACATTATGATTTGAAACGGCCTCAGGCCAGTTTTAAAAGTGCAATTTTAAGAAAATATGTAGCTTCATGAAATAATCATTTGATTACCCAAATTAAAAAAACTCCGTTTTAATGCATGATGCAAATAATAACATAGCTCCATACATAGATATGACAAATCACAAGTTCACCAAGTTTCTCAAGAAATTTCTTCTGCTGTATACCGCCCAGCATTATGAATTATCGGGGATATTCTCCCCCACGCTTCTCATAGGTCCAGCTAAAAACCCCATACTGATTCGCTTGCACGTTTCAGCTTTTTTGCTGGGATCGTACGAATTTTGTAAACATTACTTTTGACCACAGTCAGAATGGTTTTTTTCCATCCACGCAGAACGAAAGAAACTCTCATAGATCCTTGTCTTCGTCTCATCGGTCATCCCGAGAAAACAGGGCATGCGAGCCATATCTGAAAAAGGGAAATAAAATTGAGACGGAAGAGATTTATTCCATTTGATCGAAAGGGCCATCGACCGAACTCTCCTTGTTCATGGCCCCTCCCCCCCTCCGCCCCTCCCCCCCTCCCCCCTCCGCCCCGGGTCAGACTGCAATCGAGTATTCGACCAAAAGAATTTCAAATTTCGCTTCTTCTGTATTTTCGAACGATATCCATACCTTTGAGCATCGCCTTTCCGCCGCACTCCGCGTAGAGCATAGAAAAGCCATGACTCATTCTCGATCACCTCATTCTTTCCCCCCAGACACGTGTATCTCGTGGGCCTTTAAGAGCCTTGGCACATGATGTCCATCACGATTCAAATAGCATCCCAAGGACAAGTTGGAATCAGTCTAAGTTCCGATATGAGAAACAGCTCAATATCGGACTCCTCCCCTAGACTCCTTCAATAATAATGAGGTTTTCCCCTTCGATCCTTTCAAAAGTCTAAACAGGCAGTCTTACTACGGATTAAACTGCCGAGAGGAAACCTTCTTTACAAATTAGCGATGAATGTCAATTTATCACTCGTGGGAGTACGTCCCTTAAAGAAAATCCCCTTGATAGAATCGCATAGTAGTTTGTTTTTGAACGAGGCATTTAACAGACTGTGGCACCCTCAAGAAGCGACTCTTACTCGCACTATGGCTATGGCTATGTTTCACATTCAACAATCTTGATCATCAATCTTCGGGTTACGGTAGATCGCTAATTTGGGGTGTCACGAGACTTAAATTTATATGTAAAGAAATAAAGTCGTCCTCTAACCTACACTTTTCAATAGCTTGCCCTTTTTGTTTTCTGGAGATGATTCAATCCACGCCTCACTGGAATATTGAATATGTAGTAATGTGAAAACCATTTTTCAATGGCTTTACCTTTCTTCAACCCCAACCTCAACCTTAACCCCCTCCCTCTACGGAAATCACTAACGTTAGGCTTAGGCCTAAACGACGGACTGTCTTCAGGTCCGGCCTAGGTCAACCTTTTTTCGTTCAGAAGAAACTAAATCCTCGACTTACTAGGCCGATAAGGCTTATAAGGATCAATCCCTGGTCTTCCAGACATCTCGTCGAGGACGTGTAACAATAGGCCAATCACAGGCCTATTCAGTCTTTCATGGCTCTTTTAAGAGAGTGCATGTAACGTTAGACCAATTAGAGGTCTATTTCGAGTTTCATGAACCATTTCAGTGCGAACGAGGAACGTGAGGCCTATCTTGAGTTCCTCGAGCTGTCTCGATGAGTTCTGAGAAGGAAATGCTTCTTGGAAGCATGGAAAACAAAGTAGGCGCCATTCTCTTAATTACGGTTGTCTGAATGAGATATCTCCACATCCCACCAAATCGATCGGCCACTGTTAGCCACCATTTCAATATCGGCTCATCTAATGAACTCGACACAAAATTATCTCATGCATTAAAAGACAGAAGATCCAGAGACCGATACTAAGGCCAAAGAAGTCATGAATCTGGGATAACTAAGGCTCGATATCCGGCAACACTGGAGGACGGGACCGGAACCACCGCGTTAAGTCTAAATTAATGGCATCTAATTTCATTTTTTTATGGCGAAATGGTGCGCTGGAAGCAACAAAAAGGACACTTTTTGCACCTACAAGTTGATATCTTTCGTTTGGTTGGTCTCTTTCCTCCGAAAATTTCCCAGGTGCGGCTACCCGGGGGGGGGGGGGGGGAGAAAAAAAATTCGTGACTCTAGAGATCACTTTTGGTCCTGTCCAGCCTGTCTGCCTCTCTATGAAGCTGTCAGTGGGTAGCTTCCTACCCGTTGCTGCAGTTGAGAGCATTTATCTCTTGCAAAAGCATAACGTAAATGGAGATGCAATGATTCCCCGTTCTTTACCGCTACTTTCCTCCGCCGGTTCCTATAATAAGGCTATAACATAATCCGATCGATATTTTTGCCTGGGAGAGGCTGGCAGGAGTGACCGAAGTGACATAGTAGGACCGGCGCCTAACCGCGTGAACACCCTTACGGAGTATTTTTTTGTTCGTTTTGCACGTCCTTTGGGCACCGGCGCCATAAGCCGATGGCCAATGGTGCCGATAGTGCAACACCGGCGGCCGATACCGGTGTTAGCCGATGCATCGGTACAGTCCTAGTTTTAATACATGATTCTATTTTTTTTTAAAGCGCCATACATTAATATAAAAAATCGCATTATCGCGTTTCGGCATTTTGCTTCGATCTCACGAATTTCACCATCATTGCCTTTCTTCATCCCATTCCAGCCAAAATCATTTTCCCCATCTACGCAGAACGAAAGGGACCCTCGAAGATCCTTGTCATCGTCTCATCGGTCATCCCGAGTGAACTAGAAATGCAAGCCACATCTGTAAAGGGGAGACAAATGGGAACTCGACCGAGACAGAAGGAATTTATTCCATTTGATGAATAGGAAGACCATCGAACGAACTGTCATTCATGGCCCTCCCTCCCCTCCTCCTATCAGACTGGAATCAGGAATTACACCGAGAAGTTCCATTCGAGCTTTCGAAATTCACATTTTCACTGTTTTCGAACGATATCCATACCATTGAGCATCGCCTTTCCTCAGCGTAGAGCATAGAAAAGCCATGACTCATTCTCGATCCCCTCATTCTTCCCCCCCCCCCCCCCAGACATGTGTACCTCATGGACCGAGAAGAACCGTGCCACACGATGTTTATCATGATTCATCTCACAGCCGAAGGACAAATTTTTGAGCTTGGAATCATTCCAAGTTTCGATATGAGAAACGGCTCAATATTAGGGCACCTCCCATGGACCCCTCGAATACTGGTGAGGTGCATTACGATCCTCTCGAATGCCGGTCTTGCTATGGATTAAACTGCCGAGAGAAAACCTTCAGCGAAAATAAGTGATATATTTCAATTTATCACTTGTGGGAGCAATTCCTACTCGCACTCGGCTTTTTCCCACTCAACAATCATGATGGAGTTTCAGGTAACGGTATGCCACAAATTTATGGGGGTCACAAATAGATTTAAATTATAAAAAAAATACTTCGTCTCATTCCGAATACTTTTCAATATCTTGCCTTTTCTTCCCGTCGGGGTGATTCAATCCAAGCCCCTCTGGGATATTGAATACTCTGCTAAGGATCCTTTTAAAGTCAATTCGAAGAAGGAAGACGCATGAGATCCATGTATATCAAGTCAAAACGTCTTCTGAGTCTCTCGTCATCCTTCATTTCAGGGAGAAATTCCCATAACGCCTCGAAATCCTAAAGGCTTTCCATTCCTTGGGATCCAATTCCTCTTTGCAGTTGGAATTTTGCTTTGAAGGTATTCAGGAAATCTCGCAGGCACATGAGAGGTACAGTCTGACCAGTGGTACGTTGCTGTAATATGGACATATACGTTTTATAAATAACACTTTTGCATAGCGTGATTACGTAGTCGATCAGTGCCAGGGAGTCCTTTAGCAAACTCGATCTCCTGGGGAAAGAGTAAAAAAGAAATAGATTGATTGAAAGGGTTAAATCAGTAGACATTTTCATCAAAATTTTCCTCATGTTATTTCCAAAAGGAAGGAGACTTTCAAATTGTTGAAACATGTGCATCAAATTTCCAGTGGCACCGCGAAAGGGGCACTCAGAACTGTTGTTGTTTAAACAACTGTTGTTGTTTATTGTTCACCCCATTTTATTTAGAAGTTGAGGTGTTGACAGGCTGTTGTGCAGCAGTCTCCATGCAACATCATCACCATCTGTTTTTAGAGATGGTGCACGGCAAGGGGATTTCCATACTGGTTCAATCCTTTTTTTCCCTTCTGGAACATAGCTTGAGAGATGATGATTGGGAAAGTTAACTTCATATTTGGAGATAATAAAAAACCAGATGTTGTGCCAAAAGAGCGGCTTTTTTTTATTTAGAAGAAAGACTTGAAAGAGATCTAAATTTCAATATATATTGAAATTTAATATGCAAGTCATGAGGCACTTTCAAAAGTAGGTGACAACGAGTTATACGAAGAAGGGAAGGAGACGTTGATATTTTGTCTAAATAAGTTCATGTCCACACACAAGTCTCCTTGGCCTGAGGGGCTTGAGGAGAATGCAAAGTCACGACTGTTTGGATCTATCCATGAGGGGTCCCTGCCACGAGTCCGTAATTCATTGAGAAAACGAAGAGAGTGATTTCCAAAAAAAAAAAGAAACAAAGAAGTTGGTGGGAAGAGGGGAACTGTTAGAAGGAAACAGTAAGAAACCACTATAAAGAACCACACCAAATGCCACAAGTTTAAATAATGTTGAACTAATGTAATGAACGAATTACTGTAGAAGCTTTGGCAAAGGCCTCATAACACTTTGAAAGAATCTCGAATCTAGTTTCTAAATATACAGGTATAAGAGCAGAAATATCGTCATCACAGGCAGAGGTTAAAATTGGGAGAAAAGGAAATACTTTTTCATTTCATGTTTTAGGAAGCGTTCTATTAAACTGTTGTGTTCTCTTCTTGTATGATTGTATTTTTGAAAATGTAATTGACTTTGAGTGAAGGTTCTCATGAAACCTTAGTACTCGGCTAAGAAATATTCCATCGAGAAACCGCCTATGAAAAGGAGTAACGACTGGGAAGGATGGGAAAGGAGGCCGACCGCCTCAGCGTCCGCGCGAAGAATCAGAAGGAATTTCCACTTCTGCTGGGGTTCCCCCCATAACTCACCCTCGCGAAATTTTCTGGGGGGCATGGATGCATGCATACAAAACGATCGTTTAGGAGAGGGGGGATGGGGGAGGGCTTTCCTTTCGTTTCTTATGCCGGGATCAGTCTCGATCAGGCTGCAATTCTGAGAATCCTCCAAAGCATGCAATCTTAGGAAGGCAATGGTTTTCAATGATTTGTGGGCACTGGTCAGAATAAGATATCTCTGGGAAGTATTTTCTGCATCTTCATTCTAAAGAATGATCAGATCTCAGAAAAAGCTTTCTTTCAGATAGGAATTTCACTATTTTGCATGCTGAGGAACGACCTAGGCAATCAATCGAAAGGTTTAGACACTTTGCTAGAGTTAAGACTAGGGGTTTCAAGTTTCGAACTGCGAAGGTTCCCAAGATGATTTCTAAGTCGTTCATTCCACATGATGTTCGTCCGGCCAACAAATTTCTGTTGCCGGAATAGAGAATGCCGAAAATACATCAACTGAAGAGACCGAAGCTGATCCGTCTTACAAGTCGGTTCGGCTAATTACGCTGAAAAAGTTGGGGGAATTCCGATGAAAACCGGATTCCGTCCAGGCATCGATCGACGAACTTTGCCTTTTGCGCTCACTCGGAACAGATGGTCCCCGATAGCTTTCGCCATAAATTCATCGCCATCACTTGTAGACGAATGTATATATAAGCTGAAGTTTATTTAAAACTTCTACTCTCCTCTCTCCCCTCTCCCATAAATAAACCATCTGGTTGCTTTCATTGTGATTCCTCGCAGAAGGCGTCTCGAGACTTCCTGACTCCTCATAGAAAATGCTTGGGACTTCGTTGCTCCTTGTCGTTATTCGACAATCACGTATCTTTTTTAAATTTTAGCAGAACCAATCCAATTGCCGAATGCCCGGAGAGGGAACACGGTCCCACTCCAATGAAGAGATAAAGCGACTCAAGGTAAGGATTTCACTTCATTTCTTAAGTGAAAAAGAGTTAAAAAGCGCTTAGTGTTTCTTCTTTTTCTCGTCTTCTTCGTCTTCTGTTTCCTCCTCCGTGTCGCTCCTCACGTCTTTCGACCCCTGAAGAGAGAAGCCAGGTATCGAAAGGATGTAAACAATTCTTCTAAATTGTACCAGGTGTTGCACATAGTCCCCATACCCCTAACCCCCCCCCCCCCCACCACAGCCTTAAGTGTAAGAGCTAGGAAAAAAAACTCTTATATCATGAGAAAGAGATTTCATTTTCGAATCTAAGCATGTACTTCTCATAATTTGTATGCGCCCTGGCTCTGTCTCTAAGAGCTTTAATACGAGCGGGGTGAGATGAAAAGAGGCGCTTAAAGAGTTCGGTGTCATCTCCCACGTCCCTCAACACCCTGGTGATGTCGCTTTGCAAGACTTCCAGGGAGAATCCATGCTGCTTGCCCTCCATGTGCATGAGAGCCTCAACTCGGTCTTTCAGGATAACCCCAATGTTCTCAGCCACATTCAGATCAAGAGAGTTTCCTGGCCATTCCGCATTTCCAAAAAAAAAAAGGAATCCCTGAGCCTTTCAGCAATTGCCGTGTGATCAAAGCTTTGAAAAATAAGGCTTCATCAGACAGAAGCTGAACGTCTAATGCATAATGCATCCATGAACGGGTAACGAATTCAGCTCTGGCATTATGAGCTCGAAACATAATAGCACGGGTGCGATCATTGAATTTTGGTTTTTCACCATCATAAGACGTCAAGAAAAAAAATTATATGAAATAGATACAAAATTGAACCAGGAATCCAAATATACATCTAATTTTTTCTTAGCTTCTATAGTTTAAGCTGTGGAGGGGGGGGGGGGGGGGGGGGGAAGTTTTCCTAATGGGATATCACGGCTTACTGGCGTGGTGCTTCCAGGATTAAATGATAGAAATGTCTCTTTTTTCTGTTCGAGGGGGGGGGGGGGGAACGGATTTGGAGAATGGGATCGGTGCAGTCGTAATTTTCTCATCGACCGGTGTTGCTGAGATTTTTCCAACTGATTTTTGGCGGTTTTGGACTTTCAGATGAGTGGTCCTCTGTTGTTCTATTAATATGCCAAACTTCCTCTTAGTGCTTGCATGTCCACAGGAACATAATGGAGGGTAACATCCAATGGAAGGTAGGGATTTTGTTATATACGCAGGGAAAGTGGCATCATTTTCATTACTTTGATTTCTATTTGAGCTTAGAGTCGAATATGCGAGTTTTGACATCACTTAGCAAATGTCGAACACTCAACCCAAATCAATCGTCTTTCTCTGAGACGATCATCAAAATAATGCACTCTATGCGGCAGGGCAATGGTGGCCTACTGGCAGAATAAACACACGTCAGTGACCGGTCACGGAGGCATCATCTTCTTCATCTCTCTCCTCTGGGCGCTTCTCTTCCTTCAGTTCTATTGGACCTATTGCATCTGCAGAGTCATCCGTCGAATACTCAGCGACCAGGTATGGATGTCCTCAGGGCGTCATCTGTGTTTCTCCGATTCGTTCTTCGGTCTGTGTGAGTCCGCCCCCCCCCCCCCCCCCCCCCCCCCCCCCCCCTGTGGAGATAGAGGTCAATGCGGTTGGTGGCTCTGTCTCCTAGGGTTTTTCTTGTCGAGTCATTGTTAAGGAAAGGAAACTTTCACACTCACGATTTAGCAGATGAATGCTCTTTCTCTTAATGGAGTCAACGATGAAAACACAGAAAAATGTATCTGATGTTATTACGTATATATACACGTTCTTTTTCCAATGTTATGGGATTGCTGCCTTCACGCATTTCCCCGTTGAACAACACCATATAGACGGTTATGGGTGGTGTTCTATTTTTTTTCCAAAACCGGTGAGAGGTAAGACGAAGGCTTCCCAAACGAAGGTTCAACATTTAACGCATTCGAAAAAACAGCATAAATACTACCCCAGAAAATTGCAATAAGTCGAATGCCCACGAGTCTGTTTGGATGCTCTAGCATCCGAAGCGTTTAATATAGAGCACCGTTATTGTTCACACTGATTCCTTAGTGTACGAGGATTTATCATTCTCATGGGACAAGACCTGTTCCGAAGTACCGTTTCCCTTATTTTCGCTAAAAACTAAGTTTGATGAAAGATGAAAGTGACCTATTGTGTCCTTTGACGCAATCGGTGCCATTTGATAGACATCGACAAGTAAAATTTAAAAAAAGGTTCATAAGCTTGATCCAATTGGTGTATAAGTTCGAGAGTTATAGGTAAAAAAAAACTGTCGTGAAATGAATGAGCTACAGCCATACCAATCTCGAACAAAGAAAGTTTCCAGAAGAGAAGGGCGATGGCGAAACAATCGCCGTTGCTGCGAGTCATTCCCGGGGAGTGCTAGAAGGTGGAAGTTTCCGCATGAGCTGAAACGAGCTCTCCTCCCCGTGGAGATGATTTCCTCTGATGGTGCTTCTCAAAAACCAGACAAGTTTAATTCGGAAAATGCAACTATCACCTAATTCTAGATTGTGGGAAGAATTCCAACTCTCACGGAAGGTTTTTACATTTTTCCTGACTTTTTTTTGTTGAGAAAAGACTTGCGTGGCTCGCATTAGCTTGTGTGGATGCGCATGAGTAAAACGTGGTGCATATTTTGAAATATAATTTATTTCTCTCCAGTTTGCCCTTCGTCCGCATCTAGAAATATACCGGGTGTTGCACATAGATAGTCTTCCCCCCCTCGAACAGAAAAAAGAGACATTTCTATCATTTAATCCTGGAAGCACCACGCCAGTAAGCCGTGATATCCCATTAGGAAAACCCCCCCCCCCCCCGGATTTCTCAAAGAACGCCTAACCGATCCACCCGATCGGCATCCACAGGATCCTTTAAGCCTCTCATCCAACTCGCATTCCCCGCATGAAACGACAGCAGACGACACGAAGGAAAAAAGGAGGGAAAGCCAGCCGGAGCGATGACTTACGGGAAGATGATGAGGGCCGGGTAGAGGATGAGCCTGGAGACGAACCAGATGAGGACGAAGAGGACGAAGGACGCCATCACCAGCGTCTCTCTCTTTAAGTACTTCCATACCTTCGCCGCCTGGTTTCCGATTTAAAAATTCAGTTTCGTTAAATTTTCAAGGATTGATTTTCTGCATACATGCTCTAATGGAATCTCTTTTCCCATTCTCTCTCCGGTATATTCGCCAACTCAAAGCCCAACTCATTTGCCTCGATTCATTCCAGTTAATGTTACAAATTCCCATCCGCATCGACACTCATAACTTCTTTCTAGTCCACACCAAGCCCTCACATACCAGCAGGGGTCCATCGGCCGCATCGTGAAGCAAGATGACGATGGCCCCACACCGCGTCGCCCCGCAGAGGAAAGAGAGACTCAGGAGCCCCAGCGTGAGGATGTGATGGGTGAATTCGATCCAGAAATCTTTTCTCTTCGTGTCGAATCCCTGGGCCACCAGCAGGGAGACGTACAGACCCATTTCCACCAGGTAATACCATCGGACGTCCTTGGGGATTTCCTAAGGGAAAATAATCCACGAAGGTGCAAGGTCGAACGAAATGCATTTTAATCCGTGGAAACCCCCCTAAGATTTCTCATAAAGGAGCTTCTTTGAACGAGTAAGCTTCTGCCAATAATAATCTTGTCACCTCCCTCCCACGGAAGAAAAAACCCAGATGTATCGCATCGGAGTAGATCCTTTGTAACTACTATGAATGCCGGCGATTACGAGGATTCGCGCGGAAAAGAAATGCCAGTAGTGGAAGGAATGGACGAAGTTAGATGCATTCGCAGCGACAGTGTCGGTCGAATTTACGGAGACGCTAAGATTAAAGAATAATTTTAAAAATTCACTCCCAGTCCTCCACTTATTCGATCTCTATGCATGGAACTGTGGGGTTCGGATTTTTTAAATTTTTACTAAGAGGATCGGATATTCTTGCGGATATTTTAGCAATTTTTACGTCGCTCTGTGCGATCCGGACGCGATTCCCCGCGATGAAAATGGTCCCCGACGCCCGGACTCGCTTCCGTCTGCAACGAGAAAGTCTGAGATTTTCATCAAGAAATTAGCAAAATCGAGTCAGGTCCGAACCGACTTGAATTGCTTTAGCTAAAGCGCCGGTGTAACTATGTAAAGTCTATGAATTGAGCTAACTTAAGTCGCCCCTTGCAGACGGATATTTTTTCGTTAGTGGTTTCCCTCCTCAATTTCTGGGTGAAATATGAACTGGTGCCCTCGAATATCCGCGGAAATAGGACTCATATAAATATGGATCTTTAGAGACAGGATGCACCCAAGGGGCCGCAAAAACGCCGCAAGGGGCCGCGGGTTGTGCGTCACCGTTCTAAAGCAAACGCAAATGGGACGTTACGATTTCGAGGGTTCCTTGCATTTATCGCATCCAGACGAAAATTTTGCAATATTTTAGTCCGGGCGACAGAGGACCGTACGTTTGGTCAGAGCACGATCGAGTCTCTTACCCGTTCTCTTTTTTCGGACCTATAGAAATTGCACTTTCTCGTGATTCCCTCTGGGAAATACTTGGGGGCGGGAGCTTCCGGAAAAGCCGGAAAATTGTGGATAAAAAATGCAGGCGAAGGAGTCCCGGAGGCCTTTCTCTTCCTTTCACTTCCTGCTTCTTCCTCCCGATCCCTTCTTCGCCCGACTCGATTCCTTTCTTCGTCGGCGCCGTGGCGACGAAGAACGACCGTGTTCCAAAAACTTGCGTCCGCAGAGGCAAGTTCTTGCCTTCGGTCCGTCGCGACGTGCCGGCATGGAGCCCGATCGGTCGTCGTGCGGCCGTGGAATTTTCGCATCGTTTCGGCAGACGTTATCCGGAGAATCGATGGGCTCACCGCCACCCTATTTGCTCTTTGTTTTTTTTTCTATGCAAATTCTTAAGAGTTTAGGCAGCTCTCTACAAGTGTCGAGTAAATTAGATAAATTTTCCAGGCAGAAGGGAGAAAACGGCCCCCGAAATACCATTCAAACTGAACGGGATTTTTCGCTGCTCAGTTCGCATCAATGAAAAGGAAGTTAAACATTTCCAAGAAAGCACTTTTTGAGGGAGAGGGATTTGCATTCAGGCAAAAAGTGCCGATTTCTGCTTCGGTGGTCTTCCCTCAAATGGCCAATGGGTTTGGCCCAGATTAGCTCAGATACGAGATGAAATTGGTGAAACTTTTTAAGCTCTCTTATTAACCATTCACGTAAATTGGGTTTCATCGAGTCTTATTGAATTTATAAAGGTCTAAAGTCATCATGTCTGACATTTGCCCATTGGCTCTGAAAAAGATCCTTTTATTATTATTTTAAAATTAATTTTGCAAGAAATTAATGTCTCTCAATTTTCCTACATGTACAAAATTCCAACTTGGGACTGCACTGGGATCAAAAGTAACGAACAACGAAGCAGCAATAATCCAGACGGTAAACCACGCCGAGCCGACGTTGGCTGCGGGTGGGGATCGTGGGCCCTCATCGCACTGGGTTGCCCACGCAGATCGACTCTAGGGCCCACATCGACTCTAGTGCAACAGCCAACATTCGTTCTTTCTGTGGGCGAGCCATCCCTCCCCGGCACTCGAACAAAGTTCCCCACGAGTGAATCGAGATGGCGCTAAAATAGCCACGATTTCTGTCGTTTCAGTCGGTGTGAGTTTCCGAGAACTTTTCCTCCAGTACCTCGTCTTTTCCCACGGATAACGCAGTGGAAGGGAACGATGCAGGGGACACACGAAGTCCTCGAAGCAGTTCTTTCCTAACTTTTCACTGGCCAGAGAGACTCCTCGAAATTGTGGAGAGGGGATGCTCAAAAAAAAGGACCCTGACTTAATAGGGTGAGGGAAGTATCTAGCTCCCTCTGAGGGAATTTAGATCCAGGATTAGATAATAAAAAAGGATCATCCCTGACAAGCACTTCCACAGCGGCAAAAGCGCCATATGGCTTTTGGAGCACGTCTCGATCGGGTTCTAATCCCATGTGGAAAGCGAATTCCCCAGATGGAGGCAATCGAGGGAGGCAGCGCTCGCTGGAGGCAACCGAGGGAAACTCGGAGGCGTGGTCCCGGGAAGTCACGTGCAATTAAAAAGCCGTTTCCGTTCCTTTTCGTTTGAAGGTCATGCCACACGTCAGCGTTTAATGTCGGCTCAATGTGGGCTTCCGACGTCGGCTAAACGTGGGTGTTCTGCCTGGGAAAACGACTAAATTCCTTATAGAATGTACTAGAACGATCTGATGGACTGGCTCGTGCAGAAACTTGAGAATGAACCTTTCGATCGAGGTAATCAGATCGATGAACAGTATTTTATAGAGCTGTATAAATATATCATATATTACGCATATTGAAGAGCATGTAATACAACTTGAGATATCAAGCTTTCGCTTGCTACAAACCACATGTACAGGTACGTACGTTCATTTGTTCGTGACTTATTAAAGATCGAAGTTGTAGGAATCTTTTCTGGACACCCTGTCGTAGCAGACACGTGAGCTCATTCCTGCAGCTATTCGTGTTCCCGCTTCTTTGAAGGAAGTGTGTGCATAGAAATAAGAATTGACCGCAGCGTCCGTAAGTGGATCGGGCATAGCCACTCCAAATCGAAACGTCGAGGGAAACTCTTCTTATCCGTTTTCCCGCTGGAAAAATACATGTAACCGATTGGCATCCGCAAGCGTACCGGTACGCACGAACCCGTGTCCTTCCCTTCACCTACGGCGTAGAAAGGCAAAGGCAAAGGCTAAGGCAGCCGGATTCTCCGTCAGATCGTCCAAGAGTTCCTGGATGCGAATGGGTCGAGATCGGTCTAGGCCTCCGCGACCGTCCGAGAGTCAGATACGGGCATCGAGCAGAGAGTGTAACTAGAGACTCCACTCTGCTCGAATCCCATTCATCGACGGGGTCGCAATACAGATGTCACTGTCGATCCTCCATCTATCGTGCGCGCACGGACCACTCCTCCACGGCCGAGCAGCGGACTCGACGAGACGCGCTTGTTACGTTGAGGACTCCCTTTGGGTCGATTCCCGATTCCGCTGCCACGAGGCAAGCCCCACTGTAGTGTATTCGATAACAAGCCACCAGATGTCTCTGTAATAGTTCGACCCTCACCTACCGCACGGGGTGTCACCTCTAGCTACACTCTCTACTCTATGATATAGGCCTGTTAAATCAGTCCCTACAGGGCACGTACCTTCACTGTCGAACTTCGTCTGTACTATGCAATCCAACAACTATTTCTTTTCCCTCCCGCTTCCTTGAAGGAAGAAAGTGTTCGAGAGTGGTATTAGCCTAAGCGCCCATCCGTGGGTTGGGCCAAGGCCTGCGAAGTCAATCCCCCACGAAATGTGTCGCCAGAGCACCCCCTTAGTCGGAGTTTTCCCGTAGTCAGTAATTCAACAAGTATCTGTGTTCTCGTTTCATTGAAGGGGAAAAGGAGAGTGGTTTAAGCCTAAGCATCCATCCGTGGGTTAGGCCTAGGCTTACGAAAGCAGTCCCCCCCCCCAAAAAAAAAAAATGTGCCCCCAGGGCATGTACCTCCAAAATTGGACTTTCTCTAGATGTCAACAATCTGGCAGCTATTCGTGAAACCGAGTTTCAACCTCTTATCATTCTAGAACATGGTTGGAATTAACGTCAGTGAGTCACTCACGATCGTCTATATAATGTATATATGTGATGATGCAGTGAAACATGCAAGACATTTAAAACTCTATGACATCTCGCATGATCGCGAATTTTTCCCCTCGAAAGCTCTCTTCATCCTTTCCCCTCCAACAATTACCCTTTCGAGCTTTCGCATCGTCAGGAGATAAAAAGGGGGGGAATGAACTCACATGGAAGGGATAGCGATCCCAGCAGAGACTTGGTTCCCAGAGCCACTTCTTGTCCCACATGACCCACGTCCCGGCGAGGAAGAGACTCACGTAGAACACGCACTTCACGCTGCGTTCGTACACGGTACAAGCACGTCAGCACGGAATGATCGATCTCTCGTGACTCACCGACGGACTCGACTGCGGACCAGCATTCGCTGAACTTCGTGAGCTTCGTCTGCTTGCACACGGCGATATTCAGGCACGAATCGCGGCGCGGTTCCCCTTTGGCGGACTGCGTCTTCCGCGACGAGGTGTCGGTCAGTCCCGCGGATGTCCCGATCGGCGTGAACACGAACCTGTCGGAAGTCGACAGGCGTTCAAGGTTCTCCGGTGGTGGTTGACGACCTCGAAGATTAAAGAATCGTTCGGATTCTTAAGACGCCCTTTCCTCGCTTGCACTCCGCGTGTCTCATGTACATTCAAAAACGTTTCACGCATAATTTTTTTGGACCACATAAATGAGCCAGTGCGTGCGGACTATCGTGCCTTGGCGAGCTGACTCCTTCTAAGTCTCCATCATGACGTGACTCTCCTTTATGATGAATCAAGAAGAAAACGGACAGTCTCTTGCTGCATTTTTTCCATGTCCTGTGAATAATCTCGCTGTTTCCATGAGGAATCGAAAATATCTGATATGTTATTTGCAAAAAAAATAATCAAAACGACTTGGAAGCTAATGCGAAAATAGGTTACCAGGGGTAAAAGAAGATATGATCCAATATCACAGAAAGTTCGCCGGCCGCCAACTACGCTACTACGCTACGTTACCTTCCGTTATCGGGAACTATCGAGCTAATTTGCATTTTCCACATTCGTTTGTATGGGGACCGAGTTGAAAGTAAGAACCCGTCAGTATTGCTTGCATCTCCTATATTGATCAATTTTCACATTTAGGCTGAATGTCATCTGCTCGGAAAGATCGGATCAGGCAGGCAACGAACATCGGCAACGTACATCTGCATCAGGGTGACTTCGTATTGCATTCACGATTCAGTGACGGAAACACGGAGCCATCGAATACAGAGGAAAACTTTTCCATAAAAAATATTGCGACTGGATTTCCTGTAAAACTGCTCTAAAACATCAAATTCATTATCATTGACCCGGGTTGAAACTAAATGTTTCGAGGGGTTGCCTTCCGAGCAAGGTTGGAGAGGAATTTTTCTCATGAACTTTTCCAACGCGTACTGCAAGTGCGCCAGAATTATTTCGCCTGAAAAAAAATTTGTGAAAGTTGGGAGAGAAATTTTGATAGCATATCGTATTACGTTCATCGACCCAAATTCCGAAGAGGTTTATCTCTGTCGAAACTAATTGCCCATACCATCATGCGCATGAGCGCGATATCCATATTTGGCCGAGCTCAACAATAATTTATTCAACATTTACTTTAAAAATAGGGCTTAAAAAAAGTTGTAGGCAGGTTTAAAGGCGCAAAGGCATTTAAGGAACGAAAGAGGATTACCTTTCCAGGAGGAATCTGACTGCAAGAAATGCCACCGCGATGGGGATGGCAGGGAGGAAGTCCCGGCTCCGCGGGTACGCGAACCCATATTTGGATGGCACGCTCTCCCAGGTCTCGTTGTAGGGCAGCCAGAATCTCTCGCTCCACACTCCCATCTTTCCGGTCTCGAGTGGACCCTCCTTGCAGGACGAGAGACACACAGAGGACTAATCGATCGGAAGAACGGAGATTATTACGATCGAGTTGGAAGGAAATCGAAGGCAAGCGTTGCCACGTCACGGTGATGTCAGCACGATCATGTGCGAGAGAGGAAATAGAAAGGAGTTTCATGCTCACCTTCCTTTCGAATGCGAGGGCAATTAGACGACACCTACGATTGCAAACACGTCAGCGACCGGTTCGGTCGACGATGAGGAAACTACTGCGCAAACCAAACCTGCCACCAATCGACGTCTGAACACGATGGACGATGTCGTCGAAGTCTCCGTCACAAAGGTGATCGAAAACTTTCGGGTCGTTCTGACAACCGAAGAGGGTAGCTGTTGGAATATGACCGCTTCCAAATGGTCGCACATCGAACGGCGTCAAGAAAACTAAGCGACTTTGGCTCGCGTCTAGAAAACCAATATGGCATCCGTGTTTGATCAATTCTCCGCTTCTAGTCGGAATTTTGTGAATTTATTTCTTGCCTAGCTCGATTTGCCGTCACGAGCGAAGGACGAAGAAAGCACGGGTCGTATATTCAGTGCTAGTTGCCAAGCTGAAAGTGGATAAGGTGAAGGGGAATTCGCGCTCATCCTCAGTGATGAAACTTAAATTTTCGGCTACAAGGACGCGCGCTCGCTGCATCTCCGCTGATCATGGAAAAACTCGATTTTTGGGCTTCATTGCCACTCAATCAGAAATTTTATTTTTTTTTGGACTGGCAATGAAGATTTGAAAGAGTAACCTCTTTCAAATGACGGAGTATATGAGAAAAGAGGGCACCATAAGAAATGCATTTCATAAGCGATTCCCCGGTGGAAATTCCCCGCAAGAGGTCTGCAGCATTCTTATTCGCGCGCTTAGGACGAGCAGCTTGGAAGGCGAGAGGCTTCAAGCGAGGAGGAGGAGGATCAATCGATCACTCATTCTCGATCGAGGATCAATCGATCACTCATCCTCGATCGAGGGAGGTAGCTCCGAGGGCGTGGTAGCTTCCTTTCTTTACACCGGCGCAGCACCCAACCAGGTTTTTTATTATTATTTTATTACTCTTGTGCAGGGCCGGCCCTAGCTATTTCGGCGCCCTGTGCAAAGAGACTCCCGAAGCCCCCCCCCAGCCCCCCAGAATGGAGAAGAGGAAATCCCTTGCGTTCAAATTGACGCTGAAACGGAGGGCATTTTCACTTTCTGAAGTAAAACTGAGGGTGGCATCCATTATTGCTTCGTATATTTAGTCACGTTTTTGGCGCCCCGGGGTTAATTTTGCGTCCTGTGCGGGAGCACATGCGACACATGCCTAAGGCCGACCCTGCTCTTGTGTTATTGTAGTTGGCGCAGGTCGAGTGCAGGGTGCACCGCGTTCAACGACGAATCAAGGCGCATCAACAGGTTCATCGGTGATTCCGTAAATAACAAGTTGGGCAAGCCCAGTTCAGTAGTGGGCCTCCTTTCAGTTAAGGAAACCCTCATTTTGTCACCTAATTGAACAAAATGATATCTCTTTCCGGTCTTCGACCATCAAAAGCCTCATTTCTCATTTATATTTGGTAAAAATACCCTTACAAAAAATTTCCCTTGAGGTAAAATTGGGACGGTGAAACTGAGGTAAAAAACCGGTATTTCCCCCGTCCCACAACCTGTCAGAAGACCCTTCAGGTAAAGATTCGGGGAAAAAGCTGTGAAATTCGGACGAACGAGAGAATAACGTTTTGTATGGGTAGACAAATGGTGCACATGAAATGATGATGAGAGTATGGAGGGCTGTGCGTGCTCGGATCCATCCGCCACGAAGGTTGGTATTTTTTTTTAATAATAAAAGGAGCTAAATGAATGGTGGGCCCCGCTGTCAGTGGTGGACCGCCACATGACTCCCGCCCACCATGGTGAGATCCTCCCAACACCAGGGCTGGCAGAGTGCAAAACCCTGGAGAAGCTGTTGTGAACGCCATGGGAAGGTGACCCATGACTCAGGCGTGAGGACGAGTGTGCTTAACGCACGCTCGCCNCCCGCGGAGGGGGAGCGGATCTCGGACAATGAGTTCCCGACCCTCACCCTGAAAGATCTCTCAGTCAGATAGGAGGCTGTCCATCTTAGAAGCTGCAGGGGGATTTTAAAATGTGAGAAAAGTTTATAGATTAGCCCTGCATGCCAAACCTTATCAAAGGCTTTAGTGACATCGAAAAAGAGAGCAAGAAGGTGCTTTTTACCATGGACAGCCACCAGTGCGTCATGATGGAGCCGAACGAGCTGATCGGTAGTGCAGAGATTCCTACGAAAGCCTGTCTGGTTTGGAACTGACAGCTCTTGTGGCTGACACGGCGCCGCGCTCAAAGCCTAGGTCGTACGCGCATGCGCATTGTGATCTACATCCTGAAGGGCTCATAGGTACTCATGGCTTCCCCTCCGTTAGCAAATTTAAAATTCAAAATTTGCAATAAAAATGCCAATTTTGGTGCAAATTCGCCACAAAACGACCTCAGCCTGTACATTGATCATATCTACCCGCTTACTAATTTTCGCATTGATCAGATCAATACTTTTTTAGTTATCGTCGGACAACCAAAGTGTGATACACGGACAGGACGGGACTATAAGTGGTCTCTTTCCTTTCAGGAAAAGAGGCCCACTGAAAAGGGCTCGGTCCAATCGCGAAGTCAAGAGCTAAAGGTAAAAGTATGGGTATTTAAATGAATGAGCTGTCGCCCTGCCATCTGGCGCCTAATCGAATAAGCAGGGTTTGCACAAGAGAATAAAGATGAGGAATGAATCGCCGTCTTTGCGGGGAAGACCTTCCTGGAAAGATCTTCAGGCCTGTGAAGTGCGTTTCTTCCCGTTCGGAGAAGTTTGTACCAAGGTTGAAAATTTGTGTCAAGAAATGGGTTGCTACTTACTCGTGCCTGGGCAGCAGCAATGCACGACTAGTAAGGTTAACTTTCGATGAGGTCGATGGAGGTCGAAGATCATCATCATGTTGATGGCCGTATCGTTTTTTGCTCTTTCGAGAGTATGAACTCTGGATTCGCTAATCGTGGCACCAAGTGCAAATTTTTTTTGGCACTAAGAAAAGATGAGGTGCGTGTGGGTACGTGCGTGAGTGGGTGTGTGCGTTGGTAAAATATAATACGCAATTCGAATGCCAATTTCTTTCACTCCGGTTTGTCCAGACTTTGTCTAAATAAAGTTTTAATACACTGCAGGATATTTTACATTTTAAAATCATTGCATTGATGCCTTTCGGAAACGTATCAGTGGCACGGTTTTGGTTCCTTTCGCATTTTATCATCAATAAGCCACAGATTTTACAGTAACAATCGTCTATGCTAATTTCATTAGGAATAATTTGCGTATCAGGGTGAACACGAAAGGCCGAACGTCTTTCAAATTCTCAAAAGTGAAAATACTGGAGAATGAAGGATACATTTTATAATAACCTAGGGCTTAAGTTTTTTTTAACCAGCTCTTTCACGGGAATTTCGGATCCACTCATGATCGGCTAATCAAATCCTTAAAATGACGAATCTAAAAAAAAGGCTAAAAAAAGGCCCAAGTTGGGATGAGGACAATAGAACTCAAGAAATCGATGCTCTTCCAAGCTTGGGAAACTTCTTCCTGCAATCTACGACTCAGAAAAATAACATGCAAAATGTTATGACGATCGAGAATATCAGATTGAAACATTCGTGAGGTGAACCTAATTGACAAAAGAAACTGGGCAAGCCCGGCCCAGCAGTGGATCCTTTCGTTCAAGAACCCTCATTTTGTCTCCTAATTCGTAAGTAACGCATGAACGTTCTCGAGGACGTCCAACCTGTGTTCGAAGAGGCTTTGGAACGTCCAACGATGAGCAGCCTCTTGGCTGTCAAGGTGTTTCATCATCGACGCATGACGCTTTTAAATTACAATAGATGAAGTTAAAGAGACGTATTCTGTAAGCATAGTTGCACTATCCATCAGGCAGTGACTACGGCGAACAGTTTGCATAATCCATGTCAGGTGGCGTCAAAGTAGCTGCGATTGCGAGTCGGTACCTGATGCAGTTGGAACTAGAGTACCAGTCCAGGCACAGATCTGCCATTCAACTGGTTTCTATACCACCGGAATGAACCTCTTCGCCGCATCCTAACCATCCAACTTTGAAATAAATAATAGCTGTCATTGGTACGACGTATGCCGATATGAGAAGTCCCGGACGACTGGGAAATGTTCATTGTTCGCGCGTCCGTGTCGCGTGGAGATGGGAAGAACTTACGAAGTGTAGGATGCCAGATGGGGCATTTCACGCGTGCGCCTAGCAACCCTGTCTTCGCGGCGACGAGCAGCTCCTCTCTCCCATTCATCATTCATCCCATCCATCCGTCAACTGCTGGAAGGGAAATGGATGTTTGAGTCGGGGACTGGCACCCCGACCCAGGCGGAAAGCTGCGCGTGCGCAGTGAGTCGTGTTGTTCGGTTGCTATGGTTACTGCGGACAGACAGAAGGAAAATAATAATAATAATAAACGTGAAGGAACTGGCGCAATATCTGCCAATACTCCATAGTACCTATGGGAATGGCAGATAATTAGTCCCTAATACTTTCCACACGGTGCCCAATCATTCTCCACCGACACCACTGGGAAAACACTTGAATTCATTTTTTTTTTTAAATTGATCTAAAGAGTTAACCCAGTCTTAGGAGTCTCCAAAAAACCGTCCCAGAGGTAGGACCGAGTACAGTCCATCTCCTTCCTAGTACAGTCCATCTTCCAAGGAGACTTCATGCGAAAAGCCTCAGTTCGCGAGCACGATAGTTGCATATCAGTGCTAACTAAAAGGAAAGCTGTGGGTGGCGTGACTAAGTTCTCGGTCGGAGGGAGATACGAATGTGATGATACGAGAGTTCCTCACTGTTTCTCTTGCGACACGCAATTCCGGAGCAGGATAGGATCGATTGACCTTGATAGAAATATCAGGAAGAGTTCCGATCCTATGAGGGTATTCCATTTCGCACAAAG